TGTGTCCTGTATTATATTGTTCCCCTTGTAAAATAAGCCCCACACCAACACACTAATGCTGGTGTTCAAAGCACCAATCTCCTCTATTCCTTGGTGTCCTCTAAATGAACCATTTCTAATGGGAAACAGCTGTAATAAGTCAGATTCTCATGCTGTACAAGAACAATAGGAAACTATAGGCTGAATTGAGAGCTAGAGATCCAGCTACATGGATTTGTTAGCATAGCCCTCACCTCCAGGTGCTGATCTTCATCCTAAAATTGAGAGAGTTGTACAGTGTTGGTAGTACAGCCAGCAGTTTTATGAACAATGAACGTTGTGAGGCATGGTGGCATACATCTTTAATCTCAGCATTCTGGGGGGTTAAGGCAGGAAGCTCACATGTTCAAGCCTAGCCTGAGCTACTTAGTGATTTAGCAAGACTCTATCTCAACATAAAAAATAAAAAAGGGACAGGAGTGCAGCTCAGTGTGAAGGCTTTGAGTTTAATTCTCAGTATTGAAAAAAAAGACATGAATGTTCTTTTGCACATGGATGAGCCAATGAAAAGGAAGAAAATGCAAGGGCAGGATTGAATGAAAGGAATCTATAAAAAGATCATTTAAAAAGATGCCAATGTAATAATTTTCAGTGCCTTTAGTTCTGCATATTAATCAGGAGACAGTGAAGGTAGTACAAGGTTAGAGCAGAAAGTCCTGTTTATGTGATTGTGTTCCACATCTCTTCCATAATGATCACTGTGAAGTGTTTTGGATATGAACATTAGCTAATAAAGGATCAGGAGGCAATGCAGAGGGTGAACCAGGGCTCATGTAAGGGAGAAGTCCCCACTCCAAGAAAGTCAGTACCAACCTCAAGCTCATACTGATGTACTCTTTTTGAAGCTGTGATCTGTATAGTACACGGGTAGGACCTCATGCAAAATGCAGTTTGCTTCCTATCCATAGACACTTACAGATGAGAAAGAACATGTGGCTTTTTAGTGAGGAGCTCAGAAGTTAAGCACCTGTGAAACATCTGGGCAGAATAAAAGAGGAAAATGTAATTTAGACAGAGGAAATAAAATACAAAGAGAAAACACAGCAAATCCAATCCCCCTGTAGCAGGTGGTCGAGGAAAAGTAGAGGGGGCAGAATAAGCCTCTTAACTGACCTAGATTAGTAATAACATTCTCCCTCCTGTAATAACTGATTCTGATAATCAGAAGAGGGGACTTCTTTCCGAGGTTTGGAATAGAAGGTGTATCAGAGAAAAACCATTTATAACGTAATTTTCATCCACCTTTAAGTTCGTAATTTTCATCCACCTTTAAGTTCATGTGACAAATATATAAACACTCAGTAAAATATTGGATAGAATGAAGAACAAAATTAGGGCAGAGGAAGTAAGATATTTTGCATATGTCTTTTTTATATGTTTACACTTTGGTATACTGATCTGATATGAGAATTTATTGTTCTAATTATGATATAGTTTATTATAATACTCTTTCTTCTGGGCGTCATTGATACTAAAAACAAGGGTTTGGGGCTTTCATATGACAGATCACATTATATCACAAGGCAGACAACTGTGGGTCTCTTTCTGTTTATCTATCTATCTATCTCTCTATCTGTCACCTGGTAAGCAATACAAACATATGGCACAAAATTGAAACATGGTATATTCTTTATCCTAAGTGATTCCCTTTCCAGTCACTTTCTTTGGAGGCAAAATTCATCCCTTTGCTTAATGGAGCCACATATAATATTCTCACATTGCTTTTTTCACTTAACAAAATAAGATGTTGTGGCTCCATAGTAAGTGCTAGGTCTCACTTTTCCCCTGAAGACTATACAGTATTCCACTACATGTTTGTTTCATAACTTATTTAACCACTTTTCTAATGGTGGATATTTTGGTTGTTTGCAAACTTTTATCATGGCAAATAAAACTCTACTTCTAGATTTTAGACACTGAGTGAAGACAGTCAATTTAGAAACTACTCAATTTGCTGATAGATAATGCTCTCCAATTGCACGGGAAATGCGGGATGACAGTCTTGTGAGTCAGCCTGATGTGACAGGAGTAACAAAGTGCTGTCTTTTCTACCATCAGTTATGAAGGAAACAGGGTCAGGAGGGAGAACGTGAAATACTGACTTTTAAAAATCAACAATCAATCTTTTATCCACCTTAACAGGGCAAGAATAGAGTGAGCAAGAGCATGCTGTATTAGATTTAAGGAACACTTCTGATGTTTTTATTTAAGCTTAAATCTACACATTAATTAGAAGATACAGAACTGTGATAGCTTATACTACATTATGATTTTCAAATTGACTGTGCTGGTAACTATATATGGTTCACAGGCAGAGCTGGTCACAGGAGGAACATGTGAGATTTGGAAGATGGGAGTGAATCAGCAGCTGTTATTCTTGGAGGGTCAGGGGGCCACGAAAGACATGGGCAGAAGCAGAGATGTGTAGTGGGTGCCAGATGGTCTTTGTTTGCCTTTGCTGGCCTTTGAGTCATCAGTCTTCTCTCCCTTTGGCCCTGTTGATTAGCAGTGGCTCCAGTGCTCCACAATGCATGGCTGTGTCCACGAGGCTGCTAGGGCGGGGCTTTCTTTGATCCCTTCCTGGGCTCCTCCCTTATGACCTACTCTGTCATTTAGATGGGTGTGGCTTCTTGCGTTTGCCTACATTAGACGTGCTCACACTCCACATCAGGGCAGCCACAAAGCACATTAGTGACACTCTGTTCCTCTGACTCTTGCTTCCAGGCCTTGCCTAGCTCCTCCCACATCCATTCCTAGACCTTTTCCCTCATTTCCCTAATAAATATCTTCCCTCTGATTTCCTTCCTGAACCCAAATGTGAAGGAGAAGCAAGGGCCCTCACCTACCTCCTGCCTGGAACACTTGATGCATTTCTAGACTTTGGGTTGTGAAAGACAGATGCAAAACTCAGAAGACAACAAGAAGATGATGGTGATTTCCTATCCACTTCTAATTAGGCAGGACAAAAAGAGCAATTTAAATTCTTGTCTATGAGATGTGGATTAGACATCCAGGGGATCTATTTTGGAAGCTGTCAGAAAAAGTATAAGTTCTCAGCTTGAGATGACTTATTTGCTGTCCTGCTTCAAGTCAAAAGGATGAAAAAATGACCCTGAGAATCCTTTCCAGTACTAATATCACACCACAGCCACATATCACTCAAAAAATGCCACAATAAGTCAGTCCACTTGTGCCAGCCTATCATTCTTTTTCTGTGGTTGATCCATGAGATGTTTGGGGGAGGCTATAATTATTCTCCAGTTTGTTACCTACATGTGCACGGCACCCTACAGCAACATCTCCTGAGTCCTAGTAACATCTTTTCCCCACTTCAAGTGAAATGACACTGATCATCATTTCCTTTCAGTTGTTTGGAGAGCAATCTTGTTTCCATATAGGCTATTATTTGTCAAAATCAAAGTTGTAAAGTTATGTATTTTAATTAAGACTTTGCCAGGCTAAATCCTTGGGCTTAAAATTGATTATTGGCCTCTCTCGGGGCTAGTTTTCTTTTATCTGAGATCTTATTTACCAATTCTTTTTTGGAATTGAGTAAAATATATATATATACATATGTAACAGAAAATTTGCTATCTTAACCACTTGAAAGCATATCATTAATTACATTCACCACTATTATCTATTTTCAAAACTTTCTAATCAACCCAAACAGATTCTACTCATTAGGAAACAATTCTCCACTCTCTCACTGCTACTCCAAGCCCCAGGTAATACTTAACCTGCTTTCTGTCTCTTTGAGTTTGCCTAATCTAGGTATCTCCTGTAAGTGGAATCATACAGAACTTGTCCTTTTATGTTTGCGTTATTTACTAAGATATTTTGAGGCTACCCTATTTTTAAGCTCCCTGTTCAAGTTGAGTATAATTTTCTTCTTCCTCTTGCTTTTGGAAATCTCCTTATAACTTCATTTTATCTTGGTTTTTAAATTGTCATTTTTGGAAGAGGAAATGAATCCAAAGCTATATGGCCATATTCAAAGGTGATGTTTTAAAAACACAAAATGATGAAGAAATAAATTCAACATAAAGGTATTCTTTTAAAAGGCTCAATATTCTTAGAAATAATTACTGTTCAGGTGAACTATTATAGAAGTTTACCTATGTATTGCTATCTTTATATTGGGGTAGTTGAGGTCATAGAGCTACTGATAAAAACCTTATTTCAACCCTGTGAAATCCTTAACCATCTTATAATGGCCTACAAGTATTTAAACTCATTCAATCTTTTGATATATGAGAAAAAGATAACATGTCCATATATCTTTAATGTATGATTAATGGATAGTGCACTGTTTCTTTAAAGTGAGCCTCAGAGGAGCTATCCAGGTAAATTTTCCAGTGGATCTAAGGCTGGATTGCTGAAACTTATAGAGGTAGTTAATATGTACCTGGGTTATATGTATGTGCAGGAATGTCTACAGATACAGCTGGTCTTTTAACTGGTTACAAGCTGTTTCTATAGGGTTATGTTTTGTTTCTGTGTAATCTATCTATACATCTTTAACTGGGGAGTCCTCTATATTGCATGTGGTCAGCACCAGTGTCAGAGACATTAAAGCCTGAGCTGGGTGCAGGGGCATGGGTGCCAGTACTGCGGTTTGAGCTTTCAAAACAAATGGTGGGGGCAAGTCTGGCTCTGATCTCCCAGAAATAATGGATAAATTTTTTCTGGCTGAGGCTGATGTTTTGGTCAATTGGATCCCCAGAGGGGTCTTAGGCCTCTAGACCAGATTATTTTGCATCAATGGTGGCAGGGAGCAGTTTGTTGTGAAGATCATCCCTGCAGGAAAGTTTTGGCCAAACTAGTTTTGTCCATGGTGACACAGCATATCTAGCCTGTTGGACTTCATTACTAACAGAGCTACTTCCATCCTTAAACAGGGTGTACTCAGCATCCGTTAGGGGGACCACCTATTAGAACAGTTCATCCCAGTACAGAATGTGACACCTGGACAGTCAGGTCCTGGTCTGAGGTAAGCTTGTCAGCTTTTTGATCAGAAGGACAGTGGCTGTTAGAGCATGGAGGTAAAGGGGGAAGGCAGTCCTTAGTGACTGAATCCAAGTATTTGCACAGGTGGGACACTGGGTACTCCCAGGAGCTGACAGTCTGCATAAGCATCATTGTTTTTATAAACTAAAGGACCAGGGTTTTATAGAAGCCAGCCGCTCCAAGTAATTTGTGGAGTTGTTTTTTTTTTTTTTGTAATCAGGTTCTGACAGATACTTCAGCAGAGCTTTTGTGTCTTTCCAGCAGGCAGCTTGGAAGAGACAGTAATCAGATATGCTTTTTTAAGAGGGAACAAGTTTTTTAACCTCTTGGAGGTTGAGTCCAGGTCAGTTGCAAAGAGGGGCTGGCTGACCATAGCCAATGGAACACAGAAGAAGGCATTTTTTAGATCCAGGCAGGTGTACTATCAGGATATGGGTGGCAGAATACTGAGGCAATGTATGCAGAGGGTAATCGCAGCAGCATTGGCAGGCTTGGAGATCGTGAACTGGCTTTATAGGCAGGAGAGGTATATTTTAGCAGTTTGACAGTCTATACTGTTTGTTTGGTGGACCATGATGGAGCTGGAAGGGACAGAGAAACTTCAGAGAAGAGGTGCTGGTAGCTTGGCCAGATCTGTTGTTTGAACCTCTCTGAAAATAGTGGGAGAGCTCTTAACCACTTGTGGCAATTGAGTCCATGTGAGCTGGCCTTTTATCTCAGGATATTACCACTTGAAGTGGCATATGGGAGAAACTTGCAGTCAGGTGAAGGCATCTTTTAAATCTAGAACAATCCAAAAAGGATGTATGGGTTGGGAACTGAAGAGTGCAAGGTGATAGCTGTGTTATTGATGGTACAGAGGTCTTGCCCAAAATGATTAATAATCTGTCAGGCTGATATGTGTCTGGATGCCTGTTTGTACTTCCTGTGACATCTGACAGCAATGGAGGGGTC